TTGTCTGTTTTCTGCATATGAGCCAAAATCAACTCCTTCAGCTGGGGCTTCTTCTCTGGTTGAGGCTGCTGTTGTTGAAAACCAGGAGGTGGGATGTTTCGAACACCAGCTGGATTATTGTTTGACCATGACATATTGGGGTCATGTCTCCATTGAGGGTTATATGTATTTGAATACATACCACCCTGGCCTTGACTTCGCGGATTATTGACATACTGGACATCTTCCAACTGAGCAGCTCCCAGTGGACACATATCCCTATGATGAGGACCCTCGCAAAGTTCACATGAAGCAACCTCCTCTTGTCTACCAAGAGCAATCTTGGCCAACCTTCATTCGAGTGCATCGAACTTAGAATCCAGCTTGGCATCTATCTTGGCTTCTAGACTTGCAACTCTGGTTATCTCATGCAAGCCTCCTCTTCTTCGAATACTGGTCTCACTACCCCATTCAGTGGCTTCTGAACAAATTTTCTCTACTAGATCATATGCTGCTGGTGCCTCCATGCTTGTGAAACCATTTCTTGAAGCATTATTCAGGGCATCCCGGAACTCCCTTCTGATTCCATTGAAGAAAATAATGATCACGTTCCAATCTTCAAGATCATGGCTTGGGCATCTCATCAATAGCCCCTTATAGCGCTCTCATGCCTCAGTCAGACTCTCATCATCAGCCTGCTTAAAAGTAACAATATCTTCTTGCCTCTTTATTGCCAAGGCAGGTGGGAAGTATTTATCCAGAAAAGACCTTCTCAAGCTGGCCCCATGTTGTGATGAAACGGGGTGTTAAGTTTTGGAACCAGTGTGCTGCATTCCCTAGCAGAGAAAATGAGAACATCCGAAGACGGATTGCATCATCAGACACAGTTGGGCTCTTCATCGTATCACATATGCTCGCGAACCGGCGGAGATGCTCATGAGGATCCTCATTGCTAGCCCCTGAGAAAGTATACCCATTGGTGATCATGTTGATAAATGCTGGGGTATTCTCCATGGTTGCATCCCCAGCCGGAATGACAACACATGAAGCTCGGGCTCCAGTCCGTCGATTCAAACGAGCCCTGATCGAACGATCCTGGTCTGCCATGATGACAGGCTCAATGTCACGAGGTGGTGGTGGTGGTGGTGGTGTGACAGGTGATGAAGCATGTCCTCTCTGGGTTAGGGAATGCCTAGTAGTTGTGGTTGGCTGCTTCCCTAACTTGACCTGCTTCCTGTTCTGTCGGCAGGTCTTCTCGATCTCCGGATCTGGTGGCAGTAAATCGCCGGTCGTCCTCCTAGGCATGCACGAGGAGGATAAACCTGAAAATTCTTCTGCACACTAAAACCCAGATCAAAATATTTCACTCACAAAAATCAACAAAAATAAGGTATGGCAGGCCCCGGCAACGGCGCCAAAAACTTGATAGGGCAAAAACCGGAAAGTCCGGTATCGTCTCTCAGGGACTGGTACAACCTTAAGTTCTATCAATTTTGTAGAGCAAACTATAGGTGAAAATGGTTTAATGAGATTATTAACTACTGGTAAAATAATTAAACTAATTAAGCAAAGTAAAATGGTCGGGAGAAATTCAATGGGAGAAAGCTCTGGGAGAAACACAGTGATTCACTACCTATCCTATTCAGACTAATTCACATATTCCAATCAATTTAATCCATACCTCTACAGCCAGGATATCACGAATGTGCTAGCTATCCCTGTCGGGAATTACTACGTACTAAATAATCAATTCAAATCCTACTGTCGTAGCTCAATGAATTAACTATATAGTCTGAAAATCGATATCCTATTTAAGGCCGCATAGCACCTTATTTAATCCACTGTCGCTTCGATAAGTTACTGTGTCACATGAAATAGGTTCAGTTATTAGGGTTTCACTGTCGCTAATAACCTAATCAACTACAAATCAATGTATTGGTGACAAGTCAACACAAAGCATTAAGCAATTTCATACAATAGAGATTGGAAGAAAAGAATCATAAATCAATCCATCAAATCAAGAAATAGCTACATCCTATGGTGTTTCCCCCAGAAATTGGGGTTTAGTTCATGACGAAATTGAGATAAAACATTAGGGTTTTGTTCATCATGTTCTAAATCAACAATAAACAACTAATTCGGTTTAGAAAATCCAACCAACTAATCGCTCTCGTTGAATTCAGCTCAAGCCTTGGAAAAAGTGATCGCCAATTGCTCAATCGCTCTGCTGCTGCTCACTTTTTGCCTGCGCCTTTTTCTATTTCTTTCTCCCTCTAATAATTATGTTCGCCGCGCCCTGCTGCCCGAGAAGAAGTTTTTGTCCGTCCCCAGCTTCCTTCCAATTGATTCGTTCCCCTCCTTTGGTGTCGTCCCCAGCTTCTTCTTCTTTTACTTTTATCCCAGCCGCCCCGTCCCAAAGAATGATCCTCTCCAGAGAAGAATTTGCTTCCCTTTAATTCAATTGCCTCTGTCCAATTCTTTTCCCTTCTCAGCCCAAACCAGCCGCCCTCCAATTATGGCCAATACTACGGTGCCGCTAGAAAAAGTGCGGCACCAGTGCCGCTCTTACTGATTGGTCCACCTAGATTGTGATGTGGCACGGACTGGGCTTATTAAACGTCTATCAAATCAGTGGCCCATGAGTGGTGGCCCAAAACGGCAGTTGCCCACACAGACGGAAAAACATCGCCGTTTGTCTGTTAGATTTTTTATTTTTCATTTAATTCCTTCCACTTTAATCTAATTGGCTACTTTATTTTTAGTTTTCGCCAGAAACAAAGAACTAGAAAACGAACCCAAAAAACAATTGTTCTTCCTCGATATTCCTCTCCAGCGGACTGCACTTCCGGCAACTTTCTCCGGCTTCACTAGCCCTCTGTCTCCGTCGAATTGGGCCAGCGTCACAATACCAGGTGATCCCAAGAAGAAGAAGAAGAAGAAGAAAGCCGCCCTCACTCAACGCTGCCCCATCGCTCTCTGCAGTCCCTCTTGCTTTGCGTCGTCAATGTTGGAATCGTCGGAACCAAGTTTCTGAAGGTGCAAAGCGACTTCCCCACAGAATCAGAAGGCTCTGAGTAATCGAGTAATGTGTATTTGGTGAATGAGGACAATGATTTGGGTCGCTTTTTTAATTTTCTGTTGCCTCCAAAGTATTTGGTAAATCAGGGATGCAGCAATGGGAGGCTCGTTTTGTGTTTTTCCTTTGTATTTATGGGCTTATTGAGCAGTAGAGGTTCCATGCTCTGTCCCTGTTATGTTGTTTTCTCCTTTCCTCTTTCACCTTATGCTTATGCTTTACTTTCTTCATGTACTGTAGAAGACTGTAATTACAAATATATACGTAGGTGAGATTGAGCACCTGCTGGATGCATTATTGTGTTTCATCCTTCAACCCTCTTCAAAAGCAGTACCACTGTATCTCATTTTTCTTCTTTTCTGGGCGGGGACTGTTAATCTTGATTACAGCTCCAGGCAAGCTTCTGTACTGTTCTTTGTGTTAGTCTACTCTGTTCTTTTATTTTTCTTTCTTTATAATGTAAACAACTAAATATATATGTTAAAGGTGAACCACAATGGCTGTTGATATAATTCCTTATGGTTCTGGCATATATTTCTTTTATCACCTCTGTAAACAGTCTTGGTTTGGTTTGTAACCATGTTCTGTGGTATCAGATAAGGTTTTTGGGAATTCTTATTTCATTCAAGTGACCACATTGGATCCACATCCTCATGCGGGAACCCAAGCCCCATGACAATGTTGAGTATGAGGCCCTCCCTGGAGAAGATCAAATACGCCCATAGTTTGGTAATTAAGGGGTGTGGCCTAAGTTTTGCATACACGATTCCAACATGACGTCGCCTGAAATCAACTGTTGAAATAACAAACAAAATTACTGAGATGCTATTGCAGTGCAGGCTAAACCAGAACTTATTAGCTAGTACATAACAAGTTCATGCTATCTCATGAAGAAAAGCTTATAAAGCAGGGTGAGATGCTATATATGGCAATCATTCAGTACCTTCGGTGACCAACCTTAGGAGGATTTGGATTTGGTATTTCTCCATTAGGCTTAGATCGATGATGCTTACCAACCTCCACGACTTCTGATCGGTGGGGAAGTCGCTTTGCACCTCCGGAAACTTGGTTCCGACGATTCCAACCGGGAGCAAGAGCGACTGCACAGAGTGAGGGGGGGCGTGGAGAGTCGACTTGGGATCGTCTAGTACTGTGACAGAGGCCCGATTCGATAGAAACAGAGGGCTGGCGATGACGGAGAAGTTGTTGCCAGAAGTGCTTCTAGACGGTGCCGGAGTGGGATATCAAGGAAGAACAAGTATTTTTGGGTTGTATTTCTTTTGGAGTTAATTGCAATATTGGTCACTGTGATTACAGAAAAACGTTCACGTTTGGTCACTAAAAATATTTAATTTCATTCGTGGTCACCAAAATTAATTTTCACGTTCAAATTTGGTCATTCTCCGTCCAACTCCATTAACTTTTGCTTATGTGGCAGTCAACTCTTATAATTGACCGTTAAATGTATGACATGATAATAAAAATTAAAAAAAATAATGTTTAATATTTAAATATTCCTCCTCATTACTAACTATTAAAAAATAATATAATAAAAAATGTTTAATATTTAAATATTCTCTTTCTTCTTCTTCTTTCATCCATTTGTGGCTTCAGCCCGGTACCCAAAAAGAGTCGCAATCTGAATTCCCGCCTCTTTCTCCGCGCTACGCCGGCCGTCGGGATCTCCACCAGAGTCGATCTTGACTTCTGTGTGTATAAGGCGCACCTAATCCAATTGAGGAAGTGCAAAGAGCTGATGGGAGATTGGAAGAGGGTGCGGCGACTCTATTACAATACAAGGATATATTCAGAGCGACCCATAAATTCAAGGAGAATGAGGTTCTCGGATCAGACGGGTTCGGGAAATTATACAGAGGAATCCTCCCTGGTTCAAAGATCGAAGTTTCCGTGAAGCAAATCTTTCACGATTCGCGGCAGGGGAAGAATGAGTTTTGGAGACAGAGCTAGCTTAATAGGGAGGACGAGCCTAGCCACCAACGATGATCACCTGGGTGCGGACATCGGCAAGAGAGTTCTAGGATGTCAAGGAAAGGAAACAAGGTTTGAGAAAGGGAGAAAAAGAAGGTCGTCCGCCTCCGTCACCGCCATCGCTCTCACCGCTTCATCACCGTCACCACTTCAGCCGCTCTCACCTACTCGTCATCGCTACTGCCTCTGCGCCACACCTTCTCTACTGTCGATCTTGCCGGCGAAAGACGATGACTGCGAGCTGAGAGGAGAGAGAGAGGTGAATCGGAGGGAGCTGGCTCAATCTTTCACAGGCTAGTGGATGCGCGGCGAGAAGAGAGATTGAGAGGTGGCGATGGGGAAATGAGGGGGATACTAGTTATGGTCTGGTTATAAAAGAATGGTTTTTTTTAATAGTTAGAAAGGAGATGGAAAATTTAAATATTAAATATTATTATTTTATTATTTTTTATTGTCGGATCACACATTTAACAGTCAACTATAAAAGTTGACTGCTACATAAGTAAAAGTTAACGGAATTGGACGGAGAGTGACCAAATTTGAAGGCAAATATTAATTTTAGTGACCACGAATGGAATTAAATATTTTTAGTGACCAAACGTGAATATTTTTTTATAATTATAGTGACCAATCTTGCAATCAACCCATTTTTTTTTTTTTTATAGAAGGGTTCTATTTCTTTGTTTCTGGCAAAAAGCAAATAAAATAGCCAATTGAATTAAAGTGGAAAGAATGAAATGAAAAAAAAGAAAAAACAAAAAGACAAACGGAGATGCTTTCCGTCTGTGTGCGCAGCAGCAGTTTTGGGCCACTACTCATGGGCCGCAGGTTTGACAGGGGTTTAATAAATCCGGTCACTGCCACATCACGTCTAGGTGGACCAATCAAAAAGAGCGGCATCGGTGTCGCACTTTTTTTGGCGGCATTGTAGAATTGGCCTCCAATTATGGTCCCTGTTCGCCACTTCCTCCAAGCCCTCATTTCCCCGGGCCCGGTCCAAGCCCACAAAGGCCGGCCCAGTCGCTTATAATCAGAGAATTAATTCATTCCAAGCCCGTGTAGTGCACTATGTCGTTCTGCCAAAATTTCATTTTCTTCACCTGAAATACACCAAAACTCTAACACCGGATAGAAATGATTTTTCAACCATTCCATAGTCAATTGGCCCTAAAACAAGCATTTTATGTCTCAAACATATCATAAAATAATTACATTAAAACTTATAATAAATATGTTTTCGACAATTATCATGGACAAAAATTACAAACTAGACCGACGAACCATACAAAATGGAAGAATAGTCCGGTTGACTTTGGAGCCTCCATCTCTATATAGAGGACTTCAGTCCGAAAATCAACAGTTTATTTCTTAGACATAAAAACATTATAAATATGGTGGACAAACATGACAAATATTACAAAAGAAACCGACAAACATTACAAAATAATAAATCTTACAAATATTACAAAAGATATTGACAAACAGTACAAATATTTACTAACCATACATAATACTACTACTTACAATAAAAATCAGTAAACTTTTATAATAAACCAAGAAATACAAAGCATACAAATCATAACATAAAAGTATACAAACTAAACAAATAAACATTACAAATTACAATATATATATATATAACATAGTCATATAAACATTGCAAACATAATATGAAAAAAATGACAAAAAACAATGTTAAACAATACAAACTAAATGGGTATATGAACATTACAAATGTAACTTGAAAACATTCAAAATAGGTCGACAAACATAACAAAATAGGCGATGTCGTTAGAAAATTCCCTATCGCCAGAAATTCTCTCCGACGCCGCTGGAAAATCCTCTCTCACTCTCTCTCTCTCTCTGGGGCAATATTCCCGAAGCCTGCGACGCTGGCAAAAATCTTTGCCCGGCGGAAGGTGGAGGAACCGCTAACCGACGAGACGAGACAAAAGAGATGTAATTATTTTTTAATTGTTAAATAAATAAAATATGAAATTACTACTTTATCCTTTATTAAATTAGATTATTTAGAACCATTAATTTTAAATGAGGTTGGATGGCTGAGATGCGCTTACGCACATGACTAAGGGGCCAATCTCCCTCTCGGAGCTCATCTCCGCCTTGCTCATTCCCCCGTGAAAGCTCCATACCTCCACCGCCTACTACGCCTTGGAACAAGAAGGCTTTGGGCATCAATGCATCAATTTTCAATAACCCTGCACAACCGCCTCTATCCATGGAAAAAACGGGATAATTAGGAACCACCTAATACTAACCATAACAACACAAATTGATTCTTTCATTCGTCTACCTCCAACATTGCAATAAACCCTAATAATTAAAAAACATTAATTCTCTAATTCTATTTTTGAGAAAAGCATCCATGCCGGAGAGAGCTTTCTCGGGGAAGAAGGGATACCTCCTTAAACCCGACGGCAAAAACGACGAAGGATATTCGCTCACTCCGGTCAACCGCCGCCTCCTGCGGGACAACCACTTCAAATGTCGGCGCGCTTCTCCTATCAATTCGTCGGAGAAGGGTGGGGGATCTGGCGTTGCTGGGTAAGGAGGAGAATCCAAAGCCGAATTTGAGTGAGGAGGATGAAGAAGAAACGGGGCGGCGTGGTGGCGAGCGAGGAAGAAGAAAGGGGTAAGAGATGGGAGATATGAGTTCATAATTAAAGATGGTTATTATTTTTATTTAATATTTTTATTTTTTTATTTGAATTCTCGCCACATCATTATAATCTTCATCTCAGCAATTAAATTGTCACGTTAGAGTGAACTGAAGGTTAACGGTTTGGCTATTATTATGTTTTTTAAAGAGTTTGGCTATTATTTTGTTTGAAATGAAAGATTGGGCTATTAAATTGTATTTACCCTAAAAAATACAAATTAAGACAAGACTAGGACTAGGAGATGCGGTAGGGATGGCAATGGGTCGTGTCAGAGGCGGATAGTGCATATCTGTTACCCTACCCAAAGTTGTTCGGGTTTTACCCATAACCATACTCATACCTATACCCACATAAGAATTGGGTAGGAAATCAAAACCATGCCCACACTCATTCAGGTTTTCGGTATCTACGGTTATTCATGGATAATAATTTATCTTTATAACTCCAACCAACATGTTAACATTGACATGTAAACTCACATTACGTAAGTGAAAAAGTATGACAATAATTCAAAAGAATGAAGAAAATAAATTAAAAACAACACGATTTCGTGAAAAATATGATATTTGCATGTCAAATATCAAATATGTTCGAGAAAAATAATTATTATTTCTAGACAAAATGCATATGCATGTGATACTATCGTAAAATTTACCGATGGCATATTTTTGTTTCAGAACTGCTCGCCCTTAGAGATGCTATGACTTGGCGTCTAATACATAATTTTTCTGTTGTTGCATTTTGAGGTGATTCCCAATTGGTCATCCGGCATGTGATGTCTAAGGAAGCTTCCCATTCGCTAGGGGGTGCCATCTTGGAAGAGACGCGTCTTCTTTTATCTTCTTTTGAGTATGTTTTGTGTCATTTTGCTCATCGGAACTTTAACAGAGCTCCCCATGTAGCGGCAAAACAAACTCTTTTTATCGGTAGTCTGGTTGCATACGGACTATCTTGTGTGGTTAGAGTCGGTCTTGTAATTGTTTATGTTTGGTTACCGCCTTCCTGACATATCTTAGTAAAAAAAAAATATGCATGTGTATAATCGGTCGGGTTCTGGTTGGATAGTCCAAAAACCATGTCTACCCATTACTCGCAATAATCAAGTTCAGGTTTTACCCATACCCACTGAAAACCCTTCGATTTCGAGTTTTACGCTACCCGATTAGGTCAAATTTGAGTGGATATCTACGATTCCGAATATTTTTGCCATCCCTAAGACGCGGACGTTTATAAATGAAAGAGAAAAAGAAAAAGGAAACCCTAATAAAAAAGAGCAGGGGAACCGCCAAGCAGCCGAAAAGTCTGGCGCCGGTTTGTTCTATTTATACGGTAGCAGGCCGATCTCATTCCCCTTTTCCCTGTCCCTGCAGCCGAAACTTGGAACTTCTCTTGCGTGCCGGAAAGGTGGGTCCCTGCCGGTCAGTTAAGTTTTGGATTATCTTCTGTTTTTCTTCACCAAAAGGGTTGTTGGCCATTTATACATGTACGCAGGACCAGGAGGTCCTGCCTGGTAGAAATGGCGGCGGGTGCAGATAAGCAGCGGGTGACGAAGAAGATGCTGGAGACTAAGAAGTTCACATGGAAGATTGAGAATTTCTCAAAGCTGAAAGAAGCGATGCTCTATTCCGATCCATTCTTAGCTGGTGGCCACAAATGGTAACTTGATTGATATAACCTTGCCCTATTTCCCTTTCTTAGCTCATAGATTCTCTACTGAACCTTGTTTCCAAATTCATGCTTAGTTTTTGTTCTGCTTGTTTCATCTGTCTAATATATACATGTTTATCGGTTGCATATGGATTTGATTGATCTTATAGTATACTAATTTATTAATCTGCTCTGGTGGAGATGGATTTTCAATTAGCTTTGTTCCTGCGTGGTTCTCGATCGTTGATTTCGATCGGCTTTGGTGCATGCAGGAGGATTCTTATTTTTCCAAAGGGAAATAATTCATCGGATTCTCTTTCCGTATACATGGATCTTGCTAATTGTGAAACCTACACTCAAGGTTGGACTGTGGCAGCTGACGTCATCTTTACGCTTGTGGACCAAGTCAATGGCACCTAATCTCGGCAGAACAGTAGATGTACGCATACAACTGCGACTCTGCGAGCCCTGTTAGTGGTTTTATCCCGAGCAAAGACCTTCATGATCTTAGTAAAGGATTCCTTGACAAAGATACGCTAATAATTGAAGCTGAACTTTCCACTGTTAAGTGTACTACCTTCACCTAATTTTGAACTGAATCATTTGATGAAAATTCACCAATAATGGACCCTTCCATTTCCTTGATGTTGAGTTTTCAGGTTCAGGCGGCTGATAATTCTGCCAACTCAAATGCCACAGCCAGCAACCCCATTTCTCCATCAAGTGTACAATCGACCTCAAGAAAACTGATACAACAACTCTCAGCAATGTCTCGCACTGGCGACTCTATCTCTTGATCGAATCTGGACCATGGCTTCTAGTCTGATGCAGCAGCAAAGGGAGAAAATGGTTGGGGTTCCTCGCTATGTCCCTCAGGCCATCTCGCAAACCTCCAGCTTGCTGAACAAGCAACCAATCCGAGGGAGAAGACAGTCCTAAAAGACTTGGTCCCACGCCTTGCGGAGTTCAAGGAGGTTGTCCCAAGCTCTCTTTCCACTATTGAAACTAGCCGCCGGGTGGAATCATCAGTAGATCAGGTGAAAAAGGACATGGAGGCGAGGCTGGCTCACAGGAAGAGACAGCTGAGCTCTCTCGAGGTAGAGGTTACTAAACTTTGCGAAGAAGACCTGAAGCTGGAGGTTGAGGTTGAGATTCAGAGGCTATCTGCTCGCAAGGCTATCATTGTTGATCAGAGAAATTCGACAGTGGGTGAACTGGACAAGGCCAATCAAGAGGCTGCCAATGAATTGGAATAGTTGAGGAAGCAAAGTGATGACTAGGGTTGGGAAACAGTCCGGTTTGATTTAAACCAGACAGGATTGACCCGATTTTTTACAACCGGATTGGACATATACACAACCGTAGATGGGATTGGATTGGTACACGGTTTGAACCAAACCACATTGGATGCGATACGGTTTGGTCCGGTTTTGACGGGAGAAAGGGCGAATAACGACGGGATGAGTTAGCGTGGTTACATAATTTTTAGTAATCACGATGGCTACCTTACTCGCACGAAATTACACCACAAATTAATCCCGACTAGAGCCCAAGTTTTTAAACTCTAGCCGGGTGCAGTATAGAGTAAGTATTTAAATTGTCAACCCGGGCCGATTCATGTACCCATACTTCAATCGCTTAGGTTGATATCTAGCAAACAACTTTAGTGTTTAGGTTTATTGGAACTACAAACTAACCAAGAAAGGAAAAGTAAATAATGGAAAACTCTAACTAAGGGAGTTTCACCTAAGAGTTGTTTCCACTAACTAGCTACCAATACTCGTTGGATTGGAAAGATTGCTTTGGGCAAGGTAACCATAAACCACAGAGGGATACATATATGGTCGGAGACCACATTCTCAATTGCTAAACCAAGGTAAGCGTGAAAGGCCGTGTCACTCGACCCTTTCGGTTTAGACAATCAGTAGTTGACTTACTCCCTCACTCAACTCTAAGGTCGGACGGCTTAATCACGATTAACCGACTTGCTTAACTCAATATTGAGGGTTGCACTAACTTAACCTAGTTTAGGTGGCTTAGAAAGCGGAAGGAAAACCAACTCGATTGAGTCTCCCTTGGAAGGGGGATTTTCCTCTCTAATCTAGGTAAAGGTGGCTAATTAGATTGCTACTACCAACATGCACAAACCTAAGGGTGCTAAGCACAATTATGCACAATCATTACGTTGCTAAGCACCTAAATGCACAAACCGAAGGATGCTAAGCATAAAACATGCACAACCCTTAGATTGCTAAGCATGAGCATGCACAATCGACATGAATAATACATTAATCATTGAATTAAACAATACCAATGATAATCATTCATTCTAAACAATTAATTACAAAGTATTAGTTAGGGATCTACAACACCCAAGAGAAAAGAGTGAGTTTCTAGAGAGAGATAGAGGGGTTACAAATTTGAGCTCAAGATCTTCTTCTTCCAGGCTTGAATCCTCCACCCAAGCCTCCAATGATGCTCCAAGATCACTCTTACACTCTCTCTCTCTCACTAGAACTCCCCTTTGGTGTTTTAGGTTAACACCCTAGAGAAAGAAAGTGTTTCTTCTCCAAAAACGAGCTCTCCTCTCTCTCTCCCCGCTGTTGTCTTCATATTTTCCCGAAAGTGACCAGTTCGCGGACGCGTTGGTCAGTTCACGGCCGTGAACACCAAAATGCGTCTGTGAACTCAGCGTCGTCCAAAACGCACCGCTTGACTGTCCTGGGTTCACGATCAATGGCCACTGTTCACGGTCTTAGAGACCGTGAACTGCCTTGTCGTCCCTAACTTCAGGAACCTCGCTGGACGCATCGGTGTTCACGGTTTTTGGTCCATGTTCACGGTCTGCCTTGTCTGGCCCGGTGTTCACGGTTCTTGGACGCCTTCAATTCACTACTACGGGCTTTTCTTCGATTTTTTGCACTTTTTGAACTCCAAATATCCCAAATCTCGTCCTCGACCCTTCCACACATGCTAGGACCTGAAATGTATCAAGACAAGCACAACCTAACTTGAAATATGTCGAGGAACGATGAAATACTAAGCTAAACGAATAAGAAATAAGAGGTAAAATGTATGCATTTGAGCTCGAATCACTACCTTAATCTAAACCATTCATTATTTCTTTTTTACCCTATTTTTAAATTAATGATGAAGATTATATTAGGGTAATTTTCGAAATGAAAAATATACCACACATGATTACTCTATAAATTATATCCAAATCTAACCCTACTATAACCCGCCACCTACCAGCAGCGGCGGATCCAGGACATAGTAGAGCAATGAGCCGCATTTCATTACAAAACTAGATACCGTTAAAAATTATAAATTTTTTTACAATATCAATTGTACACGTCTATCTTTTAATATAGTGAATTCATCAATAAATGAGTCTACATCCATACTAATCGCATACTACTCTTTTTCAAATAAAATAGTTAACCAATCGGCGAGAAATTCATTGCTCATTTTGTTGCGCAAATCATTTTTCAAATGTTCCATTGTTGAAAAGGTTCTCTCCATAGTAGCTGTTGAAACAGATAATGTCAACACTAGACAAATCAATCGACTAATCAATTTATATTGTGTATTCATCCCCATTTTCACCACCTGCTCTAGTGATTTTTCAAGTAAATTAAACAATGTCATATTTCTTTTAGCCTTTTACGTTTTAGACTTTTAAAATTTTAGGTTTTATTATTTGTTTTTCTTTAGACGAAACTCATTTGAGCTAGAATTTCTAGAGTATATTTAGAGTTATGATTTGAATATGTTCATTTTACCATTTTCCTAATTACACACAATTGTATTATAAAATAACACTAGGCCGAATGACTAAAATCGATAAACGCATAAGGGTTATACTAGTTCCGGATCTAGAGGAGGGTTGGGGCGTGGCCCGGGGTGGCCAGCCCCTGGATCCGCCACTGCCTATCACCTCCCCCACTACCTCCCGCCGTCCGCCCTCCCACCCGAGAACCCCCTCCACTGCCGGCCGGCTGGCCAACCTCCGCTCCACCGCTCTTCTCCATTCCCCTCCTGTCTCGCATGATCTCCTATCCCCCTCCCTCCATCCCTAGCACCCCCCATCCCCCCCCCCCCCTCCATTCCCTCGCCATTTTTGAATCTTCCTCCGACGTTGCTGACGGCGACGCTGGGTTCCGAACATGGATTGCCGGTTGAGGTCGTGGTCACAAACGGGAACCCGATCAGAGAGATCAAATACAGTTTGCCGAAGGGAGCGTTCAGCTTTGCTTCTGCAGGTAATCTAGAATGGTAGTGTTTGCATTGGTAGAGGATTTGCTTTGGTAGCTACCTTGCATTTTATTATGGTACTGTTTGCATTATGCTTTGGTGGTTACCTGCATTTTCTTTGGTAGTGTGTGCATTACTCTTTGGTAGTTACCTGCGTTTGTGTTGGTTAGATGGAGCATTATGTTTTGGTAGTTATCTGCATTTGGTTTGGTAGTGTTTGCTTTATGCTTTGGTAGTTTCTCTGTACTTGTTTTAGTAGTGTTTGTATTGATTTATTTATGCAATGATATTGTTTTGATTTCACAGTAGTAGTGGTATTTGTTGTTTTGATATTTGTTTGACTTTTGTAATGGATAGATTGTTTATATTGGTAGTTTTCGTGTAATGGTAGATTTATTTCTCCAATAATATTGATGTTTTTCAAAATGGTAGTGGTTGTCTAATGGATTGGTAATGATTTCATGTTTTTTCTTTTGCAGAAAGATTGAGAAAAATATGGAGAAGAGATCTAGCTGGAGATTAGGGAAGTGAGAGAAAGAGAAAGAACTGTAATTAATATATTTTATAACTACCTAAAATGTATTTTATTAAAATTAATTAATTAATATAATTTATTTTTCGATACCCAATTTACCTTTAATAACCACGGTGATTACTACTTTTGTAGTAATCACCATAATCGCTACCGAATGGCGACTGGTCGACCTTGACGCTCGAAGCGAGATGTACAGGAGACGGGGGAGATCTGCTGCTATCGAACTCGAATGGAGATCGACGAGAGTCGGGCGGGACGAAACTTGGAAATGATGGTGTCGTCGTGGTCATCACTCGTCAAGAGCCGCTCGTCGGCCGCCGTTTGCTTCGTCGTCACTGCCGCCGAGAGATAGAGCAAATCAGCCAGCACGGTAGTAGCGGCAAGATGGAGATGGAAGGGGAACGGCTGAAACTCGAAATGGAAGGAATAGCGAATTAGTGTTTCTGAAGTTTTCTCCCCTTGGCTGCCGCCTGCCGGGCTGGGGTCGGAAGTGAATTGCGGGCCCTCGAGTGGGCTTCCTAAGAAATGGGCATGGTTTGTTATAATTGGGTTGGGCCTGGTCTTGTATGCCATCCAGTTTTAAATGGTTTTTCGGTTAAACCTGACCGGACTTGTTTTTTTCAGACAATAGGCAACCGTCAATTAGAATTTGGTTTCCGGTTGTAATCGGAACGGTTTAAACTGTCTGGTTTTCGGTTTGACTGGAAAACCGGAGCCGGATTCCCAGCACTACTGTTGAGAGCAGGCAAGCGGTGGAAAATAGGATGAGAGCCAAGGAGAGATTGGCTCAGTCAGTCAGTCTAATGCAAGTTGGAAGCTTTTCAAAGACAACTTGGATGGTAAACTTAGTTGGTTGTACGTACGTAGTAGTTAGTTTCTTACTCTTATTAGAACGGTTGCTTTCGGTTCATAAGATCATTATGGTGTTAGAGCTGGTGGGTGATACTTTTGGCCTTTTGGGGTGTAGCATGAAACTATGTTTTGTTCTAAATTTGCCACCCTATCTATCTATTGGATGTTTTGTTCTAAAATTTTCAACAGGCTAAATTCGGGTGGAAACTGGACATTGTATGGCATGCACATTTGCTAAACAAATATAAGTACCAGTTATTAAATTGTTTAATTGGAATGACTATGCGAGAGCAATAACAGGAGGTCCATGGGCATGGATGATGGGAGATCATTGCATTAAGTTGGAAGCTTTTCAAGGAGAACTTGGGATGGCAGTATTAGTACTATGTAGTAGTGGTTGTCGTCGTCTCTTCCTCTCTTTAATCAGTGGCGGTAACTGTGATATCCGCTCTCTCATTGGTCTATCTTTTGTTACAGTCTTACAGACAATCTTCTGGTCCTTATAGATCGAAGTAGCTACAATTCTACATCCGCTCTTTGGTTCGGTGTTTATGGTCATTTTGGGTTTAAGTTTAGCAAGAATGACAAATTAATTTCTACAATATGGGTACAGCAGGGCCTAATTTGGTTATTGTGATTAACTGATTATTGTAGTGGTCTTGCAGCTGCAATTACTTCTGCCACGTTTGTAACATTGTATTAATATAGAAGTTAGAGGACTATTTTGGACTATTCTACTAATCCTAATTACGTACGATGATTGTAGCCAATGTATTAGGGTAAGGGGAGCATGGGCCTGTGTAACAGACTAACAGAGTAGCTTGAAGAATAGCTACGCAATGATAATCCTATATGTACTCACATTCTACGGCAGAGTAGTCTAGGTCACACTAAATGGGCAAATTCACTTATATCGGTTGACATGCATTGATTTCGATTATTATCATTCAGTTTTACATGGTATAGGAACAGTGATTGATCATTACCTTTTGAAGCATTACGATGGACTAAGAAGAATTCAAGGTAGAGGTTGGTTTGCTTGACCCAAGATTCAATCCACTCTACATTTCCTCTCTATCTTCATTCGTCAGAAAATTCAGGCCAATTATTTGTAAGTGATGTAAAAATTTGAATTATAGCAAATGGGTTAGTTATATGAGAAAACCCCTGAAAATTAAAGCAGGATCTGGGATTTGTGATGTTGTTTGGGGACGTTGCTACTTGCAATGCATGACGAAGGAAATATATTTTCATGTACAAATGATAAGGAAACATCTTTGTCATAGAATATGTCATCCCTAGAGATTAGTGAAGAGTGTGTGTGAAGAGGTTCCACAGTATGTTAGTCTTGGTTTTTCGGACTCAAGGTATCCCTCAGTGATTCCCATTTCCGGTAGATTGTGTGTTGCTTGTGGAATATCTGGCTTGCTAGTAATGCTTGCATATTTGATAACAAGGCTCCTACTCCGGCCTCATCGATAATTGTAGTTGGCCGCGACTTTATTGAAATGGAAGAAGCTCGAGCCACAGTAGCTAATTCCTTTATCAACCTGTCGTCGCAATAATCTACTCAGCCTAGGGATTCCCATCTTATCACTGAACCACCGCTTTTGTCTCGAGTGATGTACTGCGACGGTTCCTTTGTTTCAGATTCTCTCTCGGCGGCTTATGGGATTACTATTGCTAACTCTCATGGTCAAGTGTATGATGGCAAGGCAGAGACTTTCTTGTGTTTTCATTCTATTCAAGCAAAAGCCTTCGGTCTTCTTAATGCCATCTTGCTTGCTTCGCATGATCAGACACCTACCTGCATTCGCACGGACTGTCAGGTGTTGTCACTTGCCCTGAAACAAGATCCTTCCTCTTGGCCTTGGCTCTTTTGAGCCTCCCTTGCTCAGATGTCTTCCATCTTGCAGTTTTCTCCTTTGATTCGTGTGGAGTTCATCCCTTGTAGGCTGAACAAGCTTGCGGATTGGGTGGCTTGTCAGGCTAGGTTGTGCTCATTACCTGTGGATTGGGCGTTAATTGGTAATCTTGTTGTTCCGATTTTGTAATGACATTTTGGTCTTTGCTTTCATCGAATGAAACATAAAGCCCCTTATTGTCAAAAAAAAAAAAACAAAAAAAAAATTATGTAACCTTTAGTCACTAGTGGAAGTAAGGATAGCTTTATCATCTAATTTGGTTCTAATAGCTTCAATTGTTGAAGCATAAGCTAGCTAAGCAACCAAATATTCTTAGGCGATTGAGAGAAGGAGTATTTTGTGGAGTTTTTCTAGTAAGATGATTGAGTACGAGAGTAGGGCTTGATTAATCAAATGAACAACATGTGTTACTGGCTTGCTGCAAAACTCCAAAACCTGGAATGTAGGTTTACTTGAAACAACAATGTGTTACGTGCACTTTTCGGAGAATAGAATTAGTGAGGAAGATGAGAATTGGAAGAAAAATAGAGGAATGAGAGATAGATTGGAGGAAGAAGAGAAGTATTGTCCTTAATGGCGAGAACGAAATCCCTAACCTGTTTTCGAAGAAAGCCAACCTCCCAAATTAACACGTAGGTGTGTAAAACCCATTTTCTGATTATACTTGATTGATTATTGTTCCTCTATCCATATGCTACATTAAATAGAGAAGGGAAAACTAATAACCTACAAACTAGAAAACTAAACGTAAAACCCAAAAAAAATTATCAATAAAATAATTTCCCGTACTTCTAGCTAACCACTAACACCACTAGTCACCCACTAATTCACGTCTGAATTTCACTTCTAAGTTCTAACCCCTAATTAATTTATAATAAAATTAAATAAATGCACCTGACACAATGCTCTAGTTATTGGTGTGAGATGTTGATGTTTGTGTTCTACCAATCCATGCTCGGAATCGCATGCGTCGGTGGGGTTGGTGTTGAAGTACAAGACTAATTCAAAATGGAGGCTAGAGGAAGATGGTATGTTGGTCTTCAAAATCCATTGCTGGTGCTTTCCGGCGAGGAAAATTTGGTGTTTTAACTCAATGAATGCACCTTTGACTTCTTGAACTACGATAATAACACGGTTCACTCCTCTCCGAACAATGTTCGAACGAGGATGTTTGATGTATTTTATGGTTTTTTGATAAACAATCTACGTTAAATTACTCCTACTCCTATGAAGATTCAGTGAGAGCTTCGAAAACTACGGCTATGGCTAATTTGCAGAGAAAGGATAAAAGTTTGACAATTGTGCTTCAAATGTTTGGCTTTTGAACCCCTGCTTCGTCTTCATTTCCCCTATTTATAGCCATCACTTGTAACCGCTATGTAACTGCTTCTTGTAACCACTACCTCCTATGCTTGGTGCTTGATGTAGCTTGCGTTGATGTCTTAACCGCCTTGCTTGCCTGCTGACCACTTGGTGCCTTTGCAACCGTCACGTAGGTGGCCGCCTTGTTCCATGGTGGTATCTTCATGCAGACACCCTTGCATGAAGTTATCTTTGGCACTAGGATACTTGGAGGGTTGATGGATGCACAGTGACCACACTGACCTCATTGGGGTAGTCATGCTTGTGGGGTCCTGACTAGGTGGTCTACCATGTGATGATATACGTAACGGGGACAAGGCAACCGTCCTTGGTTGACATCATACGAGCTTGCTTGGGGGTAAGTGGCGAGGTACCTGGTGCTTGACCCCCTTTGCATGACATCATGCTTGAACCCCCTTTATGGTTGGATCTCAACACTTAGCCAAAATTTCCTTCTTTCCCCATCACGTCTAGGGGTACTAGCGATGGCCTCCCTTGCATGGCATCATACTTGATACCCGAGTGCAAGGTAGGTAGGTGGCCATGGTACATGGTGCTTGACCCCCCTTGGACGATGTCATGCATAACCCTCCTTGGACGATGTCATGTTTGACCCCCCTTATTGTTCAGTCTCAACACTTAACCAAATTCTCCTTCACTTGTCGCGTTCAGGCGTAGTTGATATCACCCTCCTTGCACGTCATCATGCTTGATACCCGGGTGCAAGGTAGGTAGGCGACCATGGTACTTGGTGCTTGACCCCCCTTGCATGACATCATGCTTTACCCCCCTTGGGGTTGGGTCTCAACACAGCCGATATCGCATCCACCATGCTGAATTGGGTGGTCGACCCCCCTAAGGTGGGATCATGCATGACCCCCCTTGGATGATCTCATGCTTGACACCCTTTGTGGTTGGGTCTCCATACTTAGCCAATTTTCATGTCTTTTGCTATCAAGCCTGTCTTTTCGACTTGGTACCCCTTTGTCTCTATACTTGGAGAAGAGACTCATATTTCACAGCACAAGACATGAGTTTGAACAAGTCCGGCACTCTCTGTCTTGGAATTTCTTCCTTAACTCATAGCTCAAGCCCCCTTGTGCAAGCTTGACAAATTCCCTCTCTGTCAAGTTGACAAAGCAACAGTTACGAGCATTCTTGAAGTGAGTCAAGAAATGTTTAACCGACTCCCCTGGCCATTGGCGCATACGTGCAAGTCAGCCATTGAGACCTTGGGCTCAGATCTATAGAACTAAGCATGGAAGATCTGTTCCATCTGTTGCCAAGTTTGGACAGAGTTAGCCGGCAAGTTGACATAACATGCAAAAGCTGGCCCTGTCAACGAGTTGCCGAAAAGTCTTAACTTGACAAAGTCTCCCACGTCTCCACATTGGACAGTAAACCGTCCCACATGTTCAACAGTGGACTGGTCACCAGTACCAAAGGTGGCAAACTCAGGCACCCTAAACCCTCTTGGAAATGGGTATAGCCTATCTACCCATTCAGGATAAGGCTTATGGTACATAGGTGGCATGGTGGGCCTACTCCTAATCCAAATTGTTCGGTAAGGAGTTGAGCCACCTGGTCCCTTAAGCCATTAGCATCATGCCTACCTTGCCCCCTGGCGGTACGAACCCCATGTGGTCCACTCCATGCCCATGGACTTGGGGTGGTATGGGTGTTAGGTAAGCACGTGGAGGAACTTGATCCCCAACACCTAACCTTCCTCCCCCAACCATGTTAGCAGGAGCATCGTAAGGTCTCGCCACCGAGATGGATGGTGGTTGTTCAACATGAGTGTTGAACATAGTGGCAAAATTTTCGCCACGTGGGGAAATTCTCCAACTCCCACGTTAAGAGATGCCTCCACTTGAGTGGTGGCGGGAATCTCGCCGCAATTCACGAGTTGAGAGGTTGGTTGAGTTGTCACCGACGGCAGTAAGTTATCTTGCCGTAGTTGCCATTCCAACCACTGACAGGAGAAAAACTCACATTGTTTGGAATTGAACTTGTGTCATCTAATGGCAAAGCTCATGTTTGCACTACTGGTCCATTTTATAATTGCTTAAATTGATCCAACTCATTTGAATGTTTGTTAACAACCTCAAACTATTGACCTAAACGTCTATCAACGCTGGAATTGAGCCAATCAACTTGAGAGTTTACCTGATGAGCCATAGCTCTGTCTTCCTCTATTAACCGACGACTCTCCACCATCATTTGGCAGCTCTCCTCCGTTGCTTGGCGACTATCCACCATCATTTGGTGGTTCTCCTTCGTTGCTTTGCGGTTCTCCTCCATCATCTGACGAAGAGACACCACTACTTCAGCGAGATCTACATTTGGCGCCGACGTGAATGGCACATTCGCTCCGGCAAGGTTGCCTGAAGCACCTCCGGCTTTGCCTATGATGTCGCTAAAAGCATATGCAAAGATAATCCAGAAAGTGAAACTGACTAGAGTCGTATTTCCCTAGGGTTTTTTTCAGTTGACTACTCAAGTACTGGTTACTAGTAATTCGGATCACAAATTAAATATCTAAAACCTATACACAAAGTTAGAAAATTAACTTGCAAGATATTTTTGTGGTTGTTTGAAGTGGTTTTCCCCTTGATGTTTCATCCCGAATAAATTCAATCTAATTAACAAAGTTTAAAATGAATTTCATCCCATCGTGATTTCTAAAGTCGAATTCAAGCAATTTTATATCTATAAATTCGTTCAATTTTCAATTAATAATCTCGGTTTTCACATCATATTAAATAATTGAAAGTTTATAGATGAAGACTTAAATTACACTCGAGATGGACCATACAAATAAATCCTGATTTCTCATGATCGGTTCTCGTGTTTGGCGATCATGGAGCTAGAATGCTATTTCTAGTCGATTCTACCTTCAAACAAAATATTTGAATGGAGGGTTCTCCTTTCGTCCAGAAACATAATTAACAAACATAAGAGATGTTAATTCGTCAAAAATTTGTTAGTTAAATCATTTTTAAAAGATTTGGGATCTTAATTTCATTAAGGGTTCCACCATTCCAAACAACGAGATTTTTAATCCTTCATCAAAACGGACGAAGGGCGGAAAGATATAGTTAATTCAAGTGAGGTAACCATTCATATAAACGTGACCCCACTCCAAAAATAAATAGAAGTACAATATAAATTGGACGAAAGGGCGGAAGGACTTAGCTAACTCAAGTGAGCTAACTAATCGTATAAACCAAACCCCACTCCGAAAATATAAATATGGGGATACGGAAGGACTTAGCTAACTCAAGTGAGCTAACTAATCGTATAAACCAATCCCCACAAAAGATGATAGTAACGGCGTAAAAATTAAAAGCGTAAAGATAGAAATACTAAAACCTGGTCGTGGACTAATTTTGTGTCGAGAGTACAATGATTGTATTGAAACAACAAATCACCAAAGTAATTTCTTGTCGCAATACACCACTATGATCTCTGGTTGTAGAGGGCGAGCGGTAGAAAGATAACTTGCACTTATTTTGACATTACAACAACATAAAGATTACATTTAAAAGGAAAAGAAGAATGAAAATGGGAAGTTACAACGAAACTATAGGCCCGACCAAGGCCCGAAGTGATGGCAATGGGACGGGGAGGGTACCTCAATACCCATGCCCCCGCCCCACGCTACTACGGGTCGGGGCGGGTAAAACCCGCAAGGGTACGTGGCGGGACGGATCGACCCACTCTCATGTATTATTTTTAAACACACGCAAATTTTACTTTTTACGATAAAACGAAGGGGAAAACATTTTATGAATGAAAAATAGTGATAATAGAATGGATAATTGAGTCTAACCAGTTGAAAGATCAACTCTAACTAGTTGAAGAAAATTCAAAATAGGATAAATATGTATAGATATTGTAAGAAATTGAGGTAGAATAGGCCAAGAACAGGGTGGGGATGGGTGAGGCGGGTCGGAAGTAGATAACTATGCCCCGCCCCATTCTAGTACGAGTCGGGTAATACACGCCCCAATACAAATCAGATCGGATAATACCCACAGAGCGGGTTCAAATTGCCATCGCTACCCGAAGCATACCTTCGACCTTCTCTTCCTCCTCTCTTTACTCCCCCGTCAAATGGAATTGGAATACTTCTACTTATAGAGGGGGAAGAGTGTTCGGTCCGTATTAATCAAATAATTGTCCAAATGGCCAACTTGCTTTTAACCGAGAGCTGCCACTTTCATTGACCATTCGTTTGCTTCAGCTACGTGTCCATTTGTGCGCCAACCCTACCCAATGCAAAGAGCTAATTGCTTCATTCATTCCATGCCCATTTCCATTTCCATTTCCATTTGCCATTTAATTCACCGAGCGCCACATGATCCAGCTGCTAGCTTGAGACAAGCTTCAACTACTTACTTGTTCCCTTAATTTGTCGAGTGCACATTTAATTGAATCATGAAAACATGCATAGATTGAATATGAACTCAAGATTATCAAGTAAGAGTGCTCATACAATCATACAATCATACAATCAAACAAACAAAGATAGAGTTCCTCAAAACCTAAGTGAAGGGAAGTTACTCCATAGAGAAGAGGGAGAATGCACAAATATTATATAGATCTTCAATCTCCATCTCCAAGCTTGTTTCTCGAACTCTAATGGTGAAGAAATCCTTCAAAATAGCTCCAAGAATGTTCCCAAGGTACTCTCTCTCTAGGGTTCGTCACTTGAATATGAACTCAAGATTATCAAGTAAGAGTGCTCATACAATCATACAATCAAACAAACATAGATAGAGTTCCTCAAAACCTAAGTGAAGTGAAGTTACTCCATAGAGAAGAGGGAGAATGCAGAAATATTATCTAGATCTTCAATATCCATCTCCAAGCTTGTTTCTCGAACTCCAATGGTGAAGAAATCCTTCAAAATAGCTCCAAGAATGTTCAGCCCGTAACTTCTGGAACGATTCTGCCTCCCGTGGCCCCGCGTTACGGCCAAAATACCCGAGTTATGGTCCTGGCCGTAACTTTGAAGGCCAGCTCGTAACTCTGGAGAGGCTGCTGTCTTTCGGTCATATCTCCCTCATCCGAACTCCGAATCAATTGCCAATTGATCCCATACGCTAGTAGTGTCGTCATCTTTCTTTAAATGCCTAGATTTCATGATTATTTGTCCATTAAATGAGGTATAAACCCGAGTTTCTTCCCACGAGTCGTCAATTGATCTCCGATTGACTTGAAACTTGCGCATATGCTTCACTTTACGTGCTAGGACCTGAAATGTGACAAAGGAACACGATTTAGCATAAAATAGGCCAAAGTATGATAAATACCAAGCTAAAAAATCAAGAAACGAGGGATAAAACATGTGAAAATTCCGTGTTATCAAATTCCCCCTCTTGTAATGGTATTGATTTGCATGTATTGATATTGATTAAATCTGCAATGGTATTGGTATTTTGTTAAATGATAGTATTATTATTTATCGAATGATATTGGTGTTTTGTGCATTGGTAGTGTTTTTTTAATGGATTGGTATTGTTTTATTGTTGTAGCGTCATTAGTTCCGCTGAATGACAACAAGAAAAAAATTGAGAAAAGGAAGGAAGAGAGATCTGACTGGAGATTGTGGAAGTGAGAGAAAGAGAGACAAAATTGTAATTAATATATTTTTGTAACTTTCTAAAATATAATTTGTTAAAAAGGATAATTAATAAATTTTTTGTTATATTCAATTTACCCTTAGTAACCACGGTGATTACTATATTTTTGTAATTAATATAATTTTTGTGGAAATGAGATCTGACTGGAGATTGTGGAAGTGAGAGAAAGAGAGACAAAATTGTAATAAATATATTTTTGTAACTTTCTAAAATATAATTTGTTAAAAAGGATAATTAATAAATTTTTTGTTATATTCAATTTACCCTTAGTAACCACGGTAATAAATTTTTTGTTATATTCAATTTACAGTAATCACCGTAACCTGTCCCGCCAATAAATTAGTACAAATCAAATTTGAAACAAGACCAAGAGACGTGGATGTCTATAAACGAAAGAGAAAAAGGAAACCCTAATAAATTGAGTAGGGGAAACGTCAAGCAGCGGAAAAGTCTGGCACCGGTTTGTTCTATATATACTGTAGCAGGCCGATCTCATTCCCCCTTGCCCTAGTCCCTGCAGCCGGAACTTGGAACTTCTCTTGCGTGCCAGAAAGGTGGGTCTCTGCCGGTTAGTTAAGTTTTCGAATTATAGTCTGGTTTTATTCGCCCAGCGGTACCAAAAGAATTCTTCGGCCATTTATACATGTGCGCAGGAGGTCCTGAATCCTGATTGGTAGAAATGGCGGCGGAAGCAGATCAGCAGCCGGCGACGAGGATGCTGGAGACTAAGAAGTTCACATGGAAGATAGAGAATTTCTCAAAGCTGAAAGAAACGTGGCTCTATTCCGATCCATTCGTAGCTGGGGGTCGCAAATGGTAACTTGATTGATCTAACCATGCCCTAGCTATTGCCCTTTCTTAGCTCATAGTTTCTCCATTAAACCTTTCCTTCCTCGTTCCTACTTAGTATTTCTTCTGCTTGTTTCATCTGTCTGTTCAATACAAATCACTCATCTTCAACCAGACAGTGAACATGCAGTAAATGTTGGTTGAGTCTAATGTATTAATCTGCTCTGGCGAAGATGATTAACTTTGTTGATATCCGCTTTCAACTTCCATTATCCATTGCCATCCATGGCAGTGTGTTTCTCGTTGATTTCGGCTTTGGTGCTTGCAGGAGGATCCTTGTTTATCCAAAGGGAGAAAAATCATCCGAAGATTGTCTTTCCGTATACTTGGATCTTCCTGATTGGGAAACCTACCCTGAAGGATGGAGTGTCCTAGCTGACGTCAGCTTTACACTTGTTAACCAAGTCAATAGCACATCATCTATGCAACTGAGTACGTACGCATACAACTGCAACTGCAACTGCAACTGCAACTGCCTGCCTGCTCCTGGTTTTACATGATTTCTCAATCTCTTCTAATTAATAATCCAACAACTTCCGTGGCAGGGTTTAGCCACAGTTTCCACGCAGAGGAGGATAACTGGGGATTCCCCAATTTTATTCCGATCCAAGACCTCCACGATGTTAGTAAAGGCCTCCTTGACAATGATACTCTAACCATCGAAGCTGAACTTTCCACCGTTAAGTCTGCAACCTTCCCCGGATTTTCAACTGCTTAATCCAACTTCCTTGTACAGTATGTTAATGAATGCCTCACTAGCTTGCAGGAAGCTGCAACATCAGATTCAGAGGCAGCTGCTGTTGCTGTTGCTGGGGAACCAAAAGTCATCCAAGAATCACTCACCCTGGAGCCACTTTCAGGACAGAATCATCAGGTGATGACACCCATTACCACAGGAACCACAAACCACGTATTTATAATTGTATGCAAAATTCATAAATTCACCCTTCCATTTCCTTCACGTTGCGTTTTCAGGTTCAGGCGGCTGATAATTCTGCCACAGCCAGCAAACCCATTTCTCCATCAATTGTGCAAACGACTTCAAGAAAACTGATACAACAACTCTCAGCAATGTCTCTCACTGGCGGCTCTATCTCTTGCTCGAATCCGGACCATGGTACTTCTAGTCTGATGCAGCAGCAAAGGGAGAAAATGGTGGGGTTCCTCGCTATGTCCCTCGAGGCCATCTCACAAACCAAATCACTCGATGAAGTCGAGAACACTGCCCTCCAGCTTGCTGAACAAGCAACCAATCCGGTGGAGAAGACGGTCCTAAAAGACTTGGTCTCGCGCCTTGCTGAGTTCAAGGATGTCATCCCCAGCTCTCTCTCCACCATTGAAACTAGCTGCGGGGTGGAATCATCCGTAGATCAAGTGAAAAAGGACATGGAGGCCAGGCTGCTTCACAGGAAGAGACAACTGAGTTCTCTCGAGATAGAGGTTTCGAGGCTGGGTGAAGAAGACATGAAGCTGGAGGCAGAGATTCAGCAGCTATCTGCTCGCAAGGCTGTGATTGTTGATCAGAGGAGGTCGACCGTGGCCGAACTGGACAAGGCCAATCAAGAGGCTGCCAAGGAATTGGAAGAGTTGATGAAGCAATGTGATGAGAGCAGGCAAGCGGTGGAAAATAGGATGAGAGCCAAGGAGAGACTGGCTCAGTCCAATACAAGTTGGAAGCTTTTCAAAGACAACTTGGGATGGTAGACTTACTTAGTTGTACGTACGCAGTAGTTAGTCTCTTACTCTTATTAAAACGGTTGCTTTCGGCTCATATGATCATTATTATGGTGTTAGGGCTGGTGGATGATACTTTTGGTCTTTTGAGACGTAGACTTAGCTACAATGCTACATCCGGTCTTTGGTTCGGTGCTTATGATCCATTTTGGGTTTAAGTTTAGCAAGAATGAGCAAACTTGTAATTTGTGTTATTTCGGTTTACTGCTACTTAAGGATTCAGCTCATTAGTTTTGGGAATTAAGCAATAATAATCAGAAAACCCCAATCCCTAGTCTCTCTTCTCTCTCTTGTTTTCCCCCAATCTTCCAAATCCCTAAATTCTTCTCTTCTCAATCCCTAAATTCCCAATTGGTTTTTGGGATTTCTTGTTTCTAACATCTGGTATCAGAGCCTGCGATCGTCGATGAGTTCTTCCCAACTCTCGGACCTGTCGTGGGCCAAATTGCGGGACAGGGCCCGCCGCATCGGCCGCCGATGGCTGCCAGAAGAGCCGGCGACCGAGATCGTCGAGGAGGTGCCTCTCGCCGCTCCATCCGCGCGCCCCCCCTTCACAGGTCGAGACAGCGCCGCGCGCACGAGAAGAACAGCCTGGGCAGCGGCCCGCGGAGGCCGGCGCGACCAAGGCCAGCACGACGAGCGAGTCGGCGTCGAGTCTCTCGTTGCACTCGGTGGCGGGATGGGCTTCTCCGGGTACTCTTCGCTTCAGGGCTCGAGTCGAGGAGCGCGAGGCCATCACTCTCGTCGACTGTGGTGCTTCATTGAACTTTGTGGGGGAGGAGTTCGCCAAGCACCTACAGCAGGCGCCCACTGTCGCCGAGCCCATGCTGGTGACAGTGGCATATGGCGCGCCCATGCGCAGTGAATGGGTTTTTCGAGGTATCTCCTAGGAAATTCAAGGTCTGCAAATAACTACTGATCTGTATGTCCTGCCTATCAGGGGATTCAATATCATTCTTGGGATTCCGTGGCTGTAGAGTCTGGGACCCGTTACCAGTGATTGGCAGCATTTGACCATGCGTTTCAAATGGAGGGATAAGGATTGGACACTGCAGGGCCTCACCACTGTCGTCGGGTCCATCTCGATCAAGGACTGCGGACCGGGCGGCGACGCCGAGCTAACCATCCTGTGCTGGCCCATCGAGGAAGGGGCACAGCAGGCCCTCCACCCAGAGCTTCAGGAGTTGCTCGGACACTACTCGGATTTGTTCGAAACTCCCACTGCCTTACCTCCCCACCGGCAGGTTGATCATCAGATTCAGCTCAAGGATGGAGTAGTGACAGTGAATGTGAGGCCGTACTGGTATGGGCATTCGCAGAAGGTGGAAATCGAACGACAGGTCTCCGAGATGCTGACTAAGGGCCTTATCAGACCGAGCACTAGCCCGTTTTTGTCGCCAGTCCTGCTGGATGAGAAAGAAGGATGCGACGTGGCGTTTTTGCACAAATTACCGGGCACTTAATGATGCCACAGTGAAGGATCGATTTCCCATTCCGACGGTGGACGATATGCTCCACGAGCTCCATGGGTCCCGCTTTTTCTCTAAGCTGGATCTGAGGGCGGGATATCACTAGATCCGCATGTAGGAGGAGGATGTCCACGAAATAGCATTCCGCACTCATAACGGGCACTATGAGTACCTAGTAATGCCATTTGGGTTGTGTAATGCGCCATCTACCTTCCAGGCGGCCATGAACGACATCTTTCGGCCTCTGCTACGTCGGTACGTTCTGGTTTTCTTCGATGATATTCTGATTTACAGCCTATCATGGACAGATCACTTGAGCCACCTACGGGCAGTGTTTGAGATATTGCGGGAGCATCACTACCATATCAAGGCCACCAAGTGCGAGTTCGGGGTACAGGAGGAGGAGTATCTGGGTCACATGGTGACTCCGCAGGGTGTGAAGGTGAACCAGTCCAAGATTCAGGCGGTGGTGGACTGGCCGGTTCCCATGACTGTCACGAAGTTGAGGGGATTTCTGGGGCTAACCGGTTATTATCGTAAGTTTGTGCAGGGATACAGCATGATCACCCGGCTGCTGACGGATCTGCTGAAGAAGGGCGGGTTTGCAGGGTCGCCAGCGGCAGAGGCCGCATTTCAGCGGCTCAAACAGGCGATGACCACCACCCCGACGTTGGCAATGCCGGACTTTTCAAAGACCTTTGTTATTGAAGCGGATGCGTCAGGGAGGGGGATCAGGGCGGTGCTATCTCAGGACCGCCATCCCATTGCTTTATGAGTAAGACGTTGGCGCCCTCCAAAGAGGCTTGGTCGACGTACAAGAAAGAGATGTAGGCGATCATTACTACGGTAAAGACATGGCGACCATACCTCCTGGGGCAGAAATTTCACATCTATACCGACCACCAGAGCTTGAAGCACCTCCTAGAGCAGAGGGTGTCTACGCCAGATCAGCATAACTGGGTGTCGAAGTTGTTGGGCTACGACTATGAGATTCATTACCGACCGGGGCCCACTAATGTGGTGGCGGATGGGTTATCAAGGAAACCGGGCAGCGAGGTTCTCGCCGCAGTGACCACACCAGTTCCGCAGTTTTGGGATGAGTTGCGGACGTCCATGGAGACCAGCCAGTATTTACAGGATTGTCGGAAAATCGCAGTGAGCGACAACCCAGGGCATTATCTATTTCGACAGGGGTTGGTGACCTTTAAGGGTCGTGTGGTTCTTCCTCCCGGTTCAAATTTGGTCACCTCAGTACTGCAGGAGTTCCATGACTCACCGTTGGGCGGTCATTCAAGCGCCGAGAGGACGCTCCGCCGGATTATAGGCCATTTTTACTGGCCTCAGATGGCGCAGGCTGTGAAAGCCTATGTGGAATCGTGCGATACGTGCCAGAGGGTGATGCTGTCTCACCTGCGACCGACCAGACTCCTTCAGTCGATGCCGGTGCCGGAGCAGGTATGGGAGGATATTAGCATGGACTTCATCGTGGGATTACCTCCCTCCAGTGGGAAGACGATGTTGTTTGTGGTAGTGGATCGGCTCACTAAGTATGCCCATTTTATGCCATTAGCGCATCCGTACACGGCAAAGTCTGTGGCAGAGCAGTATGTACTGGGAGTGGTAAGACATCATGGGTTTCCCAGGTCTATCGTCAGTGATCGTGACCCCGTTTTCTTGAGCAGGTTCTGGCAAGAGGTCTTCGCACGGGCACAGACTGTTTTGTGCATGAGCTCGGCCTATCATCCCCATACCGATGGGCAAACAAAGATCGTTAATAAGAATATGGAGCAGTATTTGAGATGCTTCGCACACCAGCAGCCCAAGCAATGGCTGGCCATGCTTCCGTGGGCAGAGCTGTGGTATAACACCACTTATCACCAGACCATCAAAATGACCCCGTTCGAGGCTCTATATGGGAGATCACCCCCAACATTGGTGCACTACAGGAGCGGGTCGAGTTCTATCGACGCGGTGGACCGGTGGTTGGGCTCACGGGACGAGGCCTTGGAGTAGTTGAGAGCCAATCTGGCCGCCGCAAACAACCGGATGAAGCAGGCCGAAGATGCAGGGCGGAGGGAGGAGGAGTTTGAGGTGGGGGATTGGGTTTTGTTAAGACTGCATCCCTACCGACAAGCCTCGGTTTTACGGCGAGCATACCAAAAGCTTGCGGCCCGATTCTTTGGTCTGTACGAGATCGTCCACAAGGTCAACCCGGTGGCGTATCGTCTGCAGCTGCCAGCGGGGTCATGCATACACCAGTTGTTCCACATTTCTTTGCTGAAAAAATACCGGGACCCAGCAGACAGGGTTTCGTCGATGGCTCCTCCGGTCACAGCAGATGGCGACCTGGAGTTGGTACCTCTCAAGGTGTTGGAGACACGGTGGACGAAGAAGGGGAGTCGCTTGGTGGAAGAGAATTTGGTGCAGTGGAAGCACGTGGATCCAGAAAATGCCACTTGGGAAGAGTTAGAGGCGCTTCGCCAGAGATTCCCGGACTTCGACCTCGAGGCCGATGTCGATTCTGAAGGAGGAGGGGATGTGGGAAACCCGACCATGGGTTAGAGAGAGGGCCGAACTCGGCCAAGAGGGGGGTGGAAAACTTGTAATTTGTGTTATTTCGGTTTCTGCTACTTAAGGATTCAGCTCATTAGCTTTGGGAATTAAGCAATAATAATCAGAAAACCCCAATCCCTAGTCTCTCTTCTCTCTCTTGTTCTTCCCCAATCTTCCAAATTCCTAAATTCTTCTCTTCTCAATCTCTAAATTCCCAATTGGGATTTCTTGTTTCTAACATGAACTCGCGTTATATGTGGAGTAGTCTAGGCCAAACTAAATGGGGAAACTCATATCACTTATATCGGGTGATATGCATTGATTTATATTATTATCATTTAGTTTTACATGGTATCCGAGTAGCGGAGCAGTGATTGATCATTACCTTTTGAAGCATTACGATGTGCTAAGAAGAATTCAAGGTGGAGGTTGGTTGCTTGACCCAAGATTCAATCCCACTCACATCCCCTCTATCTTCACCCGTCAGAGAATGGCCAATTATTTGTAAGTGATTTGATGGCAGAATTGAATTATAGCAAATGGGTTAGTTATATGACTATAACCCTAATCATAGAGAACAAGATGGCACTCATCGATGGGTCGTTACGATGCTGAAAGGCCGGTCTTGGGAGTTGCGACTTGCGATGCATGATGAAGGAAATATCTTTTCATTGGCGAATACAAAGGAAAGATCTTTTTCATGGAAGACAACATCACTAGAGATGAGTGAAGAGTGTTTGCAAAGGTTGACGATATGTAACCTTAGTTACAGGTGGAAGCAAGGATTTGCTTTGTCACACTAGTTTGGTTCGAGTAGGGTCAATTGTTGATGCATAACGTATTTGTGCACAAACAATTTATGTTTTATGAATGTGGTATTTTAGAGATATTTGAGATTGAAATGTAATATTTTAATTTCAATTGTCTTTGTTTGGTTGAAAGAGTTATTTGTGCGTAGTATTTTATTAAAAAAATCAAAATTATTTTATTACCCATGCATCCCAATTTCCTCGATATATAAAAGCCCATTTAATTCTTTCTCGTGTACAACTAAGAAAAGGGCAATGAAAGATCGATTGAGAATCCATAAAAAAAAAAAAAAAAAACTCAGCACCACACCGTGACTAAATATTGACATCTTGTCACAGGAAGTGATTTTGTCAAGGTAAATATTGTGTTAAAAGGTTTACATCCTGTCTCTGAAAGTATTTTTTCCTTAATTAGTGTGGTACGATTTGGTATTCATCACGGGGTTCCTCGTGATTAATAGTTATAAATTATCATGGGAAATTATACTGTGACTAGTTATAGTTTGTCACGATACCAATTTCCCGTGACGTTTACAATAGACATGGATATATATATTACCGTGATATGCATTGATTTAGACTAGCAGAGACACGCTCGCTACGCTTAACGCTTCCTGCATAAGCAAAACCATAATATCATTTTGTATGAAGCATAATATAAGCTTCAATTGAATAACACTAAGTCATTGTATTTCTAACGGTAAGTAGGACATACGTAATTAATCAAAGCATTAGATGGCATACAAAGTTTATAAAGAAGTCTGAATAGTTTCGTTTGTAATGCCAGGATTGTTGTCTATAAAGCATATTACAGAATACAGACGGCCCACATGTTGGCTTCCACGTTGTGTCGTCTCACAATTAAAGAGCTCACAATTAAAGAGCAAAGGGCCAAGCAAACCTGTGAATAGTAGTACATGACTCAGATTGAAAGGGAAAGGAAGAAGAATAAGGTTGCAGTCGAAGTACCAGGTCAATAATTATGCAAATTGGCAGTAGCATGGAACTCCATAACCGACAATGAGTATTTGATAATGGGAAGGCTCCCAACAAAACATAGTCTAGCAATTGACAGATGACTCGAACACCTACTATACAATCTACAGGTATGCAGGTTCGACCTTCAGAAAGGCAGCGATCATATAAGTTATGGAACTACCTGGGGATCATAATGCGGCAGCTTAGGATAGAAGAGCAAGAACAGCTGGTTGCACTCAGAATACAGCAAGAAGAAGGTCGATTCTAGACTTACTCTGCAGTTAAAACATGCACAATAGGAACCGGTGTTAAGGGTAGGAGGTTCTGCAGGTAAAAAAGTATGGGCATGATTGAAAACAAATTGCATTAGTGAGGATATTAAAAGAACCAATCTTTTGCCATCCAATCTTTTGACAATATGAAAACTTGCAGTATTTTAACTTGACCTTTCTGCAACAGGGCATCACGTCAAAGCAAGATAGCCTCCAAATCCCATGTTGGTATCCATATAAAAAACTAATATAAGCTGCAAATGAAGATAAAACAGATGGAAATGGTCAGTAAAGATGTACCTTATCAAATACGAAAATGAGCTTAAGTATCTATAAAATAACAATGCAGGTCCAAGATAATAAAAACACAGTCATGTGGAACATGTTCTTTATCACGCAAATATTTTGCTTCCAAGTAAAGAAATCGCCTAGATTGAAATGGGAGAACTGCAAGCAAATCTGGAAGAGTTCTGCAGGTAACTCATAGTTAATAATGAGAGCAGGACCTAGAGAAGAATTCTCACCTCCCAACAATCTATAACTTTTCACACACCAGAGGCGAATTCAAACATCATTTTACACAAAGACTAAATGAAATTTGCAAGTAGAAGACCCTTAAAAGCTCATATCCTAAACATTTGCAGCAACCACCCCAAACAAATCTAAAGTACTTCTAAGTATTTATAAATTTATTACTTTAATTTGAAACTTGATCATGAACATGAGAAACAACCAAAAAGAACCAGCAACACTGAACCAATCAAGCGCTTCAATCCAAGAGTTGAAACACTTACTAAGGCTGCAACAGAAAACAACAAAGATACTGTTTCCCTCGATCGGTATCAAACAGTGAATATGAGCACTTCCCTGATAACTTCAAGATCTGAAAAAGATGGGATTGTACAGTCAACTGCAGTAAGAATGTGATTTGATGAGAACTAATAATCTGGAAGCAAAGGCAAATGATCAAGCATTTCAAACTGTTGGTTCCTTAATAAATATGGCATCAACACTTCACAAATACTAAAGGTATTATAAACGAACTCATGAGTCCATGAGAAGCAAATCAAAACTAACCTTGTCACCTAACCACAAAGCATTACTATAAAGTAAGGAAATCAAAAGTGTAAAAATGACTACTTTCCTGAAAAGAGCAGCAAAATAGAAGTGGCTGCAAGTGTTGCTTGGTATGATTCTTCTTTGCTGTGTTGGCGTCCACACAGTACAGAAGCAATAAATCTTGAACCTAGAAATAAGGGACTAGATACTATGACAACACTTCTTGTGTTGTTATTATAACAACACTAGTCTCCAACCAATAGGAAGGTAGGGTTGTGATGACTTTTTATTAGATGAATTGACCTAGTGTAAAATAAAAGCAGGGGTATAATTGTCATTATGAAAAATATGTTTAAATAATAATCATAAAAAATAATAAAAATAATAATTTATTTTCGGCCCAGAATTTTGGTCGCCGGAATTCGACCATCGGTCTCCGGAATCTGGTCGTCGGTCACCGGAATATGCTATTTTCTCACCGGAATATGCTATTTTGTCATCGGAATATGCCACCGTCGCCGGAATATGCTCACCGCGGTCGGAATATGCTTACCGGCGTCGTAATCTAGTCATCAGGGCCGGAATATGCCTATCGACGTCGGAATCTGCTGACTGACGGTCACTGGAGTTCGGTCAACGAAGTTCGTTGACCGGTCAACGGTCAACGACCACCAGATGTATGGTTTACATTGTGAGATTTATGGTTTGGTTTCTCATATTTTCGTATGCCTTTTGTCGTTTGCTTTATCGTGTTTGTGGTTTGCATTGAGAAGTTTCTGGTTTGCTTTATCGTGTTTGTGGTTTGCATTGAGAAGTTTCTGGTTTGCTTTCAAAAAATTTGTGGTTGCATTAAGGGGTTTTTGGTTTGTTTTAATATATTTATGGTCTACATTAGGACGTTTATGGTTTGCTTTTTTGTGGTTTGATTTACTGTATTTGTGGTTTGCATTAGGAGGTTTCTGGTGTGCTTCCCAAATGTTGTGGTTTGCTTTGTGAGGTTTGTGGTTTGTTTTAGGAGATTTGTGGTATGCATTCGGAGGTTTCTGGTTTGCTTTATTGTGTTTGTGGTTTGCATTAAGAAATTTATGGTGTGCTTTCCAAAATTTTATGGTTTGATTTGTGGGGTTTCTGGTTTGTTTAAATATATTTTTGGTCTGCATTAGGAGGTTTGTGGTTTGCTTTAGCGTGTTTGTGGTTTGCATTATGAGGTTTCTGGTGTGCTTTCGGGATATTTGTGGTATGCTTTGTGGGGTTTTTGGTTTGTTTTAGGGGATTTATGGTATAGATTGGGAAGTTTCTGGTACGCTTTTTGTGGATTGTTTTACCGTGTTTGTGGATGGCAGGTTTATGAGTGCATTATAAGTAACAACATCTCGCCAAATCCAAAAGTTTGCATCTCCTTGTAGACATCCAGAGCCTCCTCAAACTTACCAAGGTTAGCATAAACCGAGAGCAATGTGTTGTACAAAACTCTATCCAACTCAATCCCCTTGGTGGGCTGCTTCTGGTCGGCCCAATTAGCCGTAAACAAGATTGGAATGGGCCTGTTGTAAGTTATATCTATCTAGTTTAGTTTGTTATTATTTTGGTTTGTGATTGTCAGCGTTGACCAAGGTTGTCAAACCGGTTTAAGTCATTGAGCCGGTCAAGCAAGGGGTTTGAGGTTTAATGGTCTGATCGGGGTCCGGCCGGTTTGAGCCGTTTTAGACGTTTTCTAAATATATATACAAATAAAGTAGTAATTAAAAATTTAATGAGTGAAATAAAATTTATCTTACATATATCTATTAAAAACTTATTTTCAACAAAATAAATCTACCTAACCTCCATGATCCACCTACCATTTCCCTTCCTTCGTTCCTTTTCCTCTCTTCTGCCTCTCCTTCTTCTCCCTGTTTAGGGGTCAGACCGGGGGGTTTTCTGGAGGCCGTTTTGAAGCCCGACTCGGGTTGAACCGGGTCCAACCGGGGGGTTCGATAGGGGTTTAACAACCTTGCCGTTGACACTCGATCCGTTGTGAAACGGCAGATACTAAATAGCTACCAGATAGCGATGACAATCTGAATCAAAACTCTATCCCCTTAATCTTCATTTCATTAAACAACAATAGAGCCCAACACTACAAGACCCTATCCTTCGATTCCACCAATCGTTCTCAACTGCCACAAAACCCTGGACTGAAAAATTGCAGAGTTGTAACCCCTGTCTTCCGATTCCATATCCCCCCATTCTCAACTCAACCACGGGGAGATCGTGAATACCCCTACGAGCATAAAGGTAGCCATCTTCCTCCTCCTCCTCCTTCGCTCCACCGTCGCGACGCTCCTCAATCGGAGGACGATTTTCTCCGAATCGACCTCGATGGATGGGATTGGAAGAAGAGAGAGCTTGTTCGGAGACCACTGCCATCTCAGCCAGGATTTGCCGTCGATGAAGAAGAACGAGGCAGAGAGACATGACCGCGACGGAGATTTCCAACTGAGCGGACGGCGCCGCCGCCCAAGGAGGCCGCGACGGAGCGTTTTGCTCCTGATGGCGCCGGTGATGGGAGAGATGCGGATTGGCACGGAGATGGCAGAGAATTGGCGCCGGAGAAAATTGTTGTTCGGATGTACAGATTCGGACGCCGCTGTTGCTGGAGAGACAGGGAGATAAAACACGTTTAGGTATTTAGATTTTGTTTATTTGTTTATTTATTGATATTTTACTCTTATACCCTTGTTGTTAGTATAACAACACTTGAGGTGTTGTTATACTATCCGGAGCCTAGAAATAAGCAAGAGCATAGAGAGGCAACAAAGTTAGTAAATAAAACACAGTAGCCCCAAGGTACAAAGAGTTGCCAAATCAAGAAACTAAAACAAAACCATGCTTGAGAATGGACCAGAAAGGAGATATGAAAACAGAATAGCAGCTGAGAATACCAAGAGGCGACAAAGCAAGAATGGCCAAGAAGTTTGGTTGAGAAGCAGAAAGGAGATACGAAAATTGAATGGCAGCTTAGAGTCCAAACCAATCCTAGGTTCCAAAAGGAACATTTGGTCTCTGAGCGATCAAATAAGAGAAAAAGAATAGGAAATTGGCTCTAGAAGCATGAAACTAATTGATTGCCAAATTAGATTTAAACCCCAAAACAAAGGCTATTTTGTGGTAATATAGATCGGTCTAGGATAGGGTGAGTAACCCTTTGTTACTCACCCGTGAGTAATCACCTTAAGACCGTAGATCTGGGCCGGGCTGATCGTGTGGCTGTGGTTGATGCGGTGATGGTCAGGGGCTTTTTTGTCTGATTGTTGAATTAATGACTTCCCCCTTTTGTCCGTTGCAAATCTTTCTGTGCGCGAGTTGGATTCGGACTGCGAGCAGCATCTGAGAAACAGGGGACGGCGATTCTCTTGATCGACGGCTATGAATCTGCGAGCAGCAGCTAATCGAATCGAGCTTTCTGATTCTCCATAATTGATCGACGTGCGCGCGAGTTGGATTCGGTTTTTGGAGAGAGAAACTGCGAGCAGCCCCTGAGAAACAGGGGACGACAAATCTTTTCCGATTCTCCATAAGTGATCGACGGCGATAGAAACTGCGAGCAACAGCTAATCGAATCGAGCTTTCTGGTTCTCCATAATTGATCAACGGCGAGGTTAGATATTAGTTTTTATTATTCTTCCTGTTTAGCTAATCGAGTTTTCTGTTGATCTTTGGTTTCGTTGAGCGTTCTGTCGATCTCTGGTTTCGTTGGAGGTTTTTCATTGGTGCTAGTCGAGCTTGTTCATGTTTAGCTAATCGAGCGTGTTTGAGTTTCTCTGGTTTCGTTGTAGGTTTTGTAGAATTTACTTTCTCTGAGTTTCTTTGTGTGTTCTGTTTAGCTAATCGAGCTTGTTCATGTGTTATGCTCTTTGTGTTTTGGTGTTTTTGCAGTATTCTGGTGAGATGAGTTACGTAAATTGTGGCGATGTTGTTCCATTTGATAGATCTGGTTCTTCAACCAGCGTTGTAGGATCTGGTTCTTCATCTAGCATTGTTGGAACTACTTCTTCATCTATCGATCTTGGATTTGTTCATTCAGCTAACTCTGGTGAATCAGGAGGTAAGATATACAAATTTGTTTGTTTATTGAAGTTTGAATGTGTTAGATACCATATGGTACCATGGTGGTAATTACTGGTATACAATGAGAGGTGATACTATAGTGTTGTGAGCTCTGTATTTAAGTTTTACCATATCATACCATGGTGGTCATTACTTGTACCATGGTTGGAATCATCGTTATAGTGTCGTAATTTGATTTTACCATGCCTTACCATGTGGTATAGTGTGGTAGTTTCAAGTTAAAGGTGGGGTTATGTGCGATAATTTATTTTACCATGTCATACCATGTGCTAAAATATGGTAATTTGATGTTATCATGTATAGCTTGTGGTATAGTGTGGTTTTTTGGGATTTTGTTGCTGCTGTAAGTGATTTTATCATGTCATACCATGTGGTATAGTGTGGTAATTTGATTTTACCATGCCATACCATGTGGTATAGTGTGGGAGTTTGGTTTTACCATGCTATACCATGTGGTATAGTGTGGTAATATGCTAAGATGTGATTCTGTTGTGGCATGGAATTCATTTTACCATATTATACCATGGTGGTAACTCTATCATGGCTGTAATTATTCGTATACATTGAGATTTCATACTGTTGTGGTGTGTAATCCATTTTACCATATCATACCATGGTGGTATTATATTTGTACATATTTAATATGTTGCTTTATAATGTTTGTAGGTTTTAATGGTATATATCCTACTGTTCGTGATTCTTGGAAGGACTTAGAGTTCAATACACCAGATGATGCATATAATTTCTATGTGGATTATGGGAATCATGAAGGTTTTGGTGTGAGGATTTACCAACAATCAACATGTCCGAAGCTCAATGGTGCTTCTTCAGCTGTTTATTATATCAAGTATTGTTGCAATAAGGAAGGTTGGAGAAAAGGTAGTGAGAATAACCCTGATAATATAGGTGTTGTTGATACGAAGGTTCGTGTTCGTAATGTTCCAGAACTCAGGGGTGGGTGTAATGGTGCTTATATACGACTGAGGTGGTTTAAAGAGTTCAAATGCTACAAGATCTATCGTTGGTATAATGTGTACAACCATGACATGATTCTTGAGTCTCTGCGTCACTATGTGAGATCTAGCAGACAAATGGCTCCTGTGTACAAGATGTTGGCAGAGGTGAATGATGCTGCTGGTGTTCGAGTTACTTCTTCGTATAATGCAATTAGTAGGGCAGGTGGTGGTCGGAAGTTTGTTGGTTTCACAAAGAATGATTTGAAGAACCATCTGCGAACTGTGAGGACGTTATCAATGGAGTATGGTGATGCAACTGCATTGCTTGCATACTTTAGACGTCAAGCACAGCTGGATCCTGGCTTCTTTCATGTGGTGGAGGTTGATGTTGAAGAGAACATTGCTAGTATTTTTTGGGCAGATGGGAAGATGCGGATGGATTATCATTATTTTGGTGATTCAATTAGTTTTGATACTACTTATCGGACTAATAAAGAGTATCGACCACTAGGTATGTTTTTCTACTTTGTTGTTTATTATTGTCTTTGTGAGTTTGTATGCTTATTTTTATCATTCTGTATCATGGTATATATCAGGTTGTGTTTGCGTTTTAGAAGTCTTTTACCATATGGTATGAGTTGGTATGGATTAGTGTTTTGTTTTTAAAAGTCTTTTACTATATGGTATGTGTTGGTATGGCTTAGTGTTTTGTTCTTAGAAGTCTGTACCATATGGTATGTGTTGGTATGGATTAGTATTTTGTTCTTAGAAGTCTTTTACCATATGGTATGGGTTGGTATTTTGTTCTTATCAGTCTTTTACCATTGGTATGGGTTTGTATGTATTAGTATTTTGTTCTTAGAAGTCTTTACCATATGGTATGGGTTGGTATGGATTAATATTTTGTTCTTAGAAGTCTTTTACCATATGGTATTGGTTGGTGTGGATTAGTATTTGTTCTTAGAAGTCTTTACCATATGGTATTGGTTGGTATTATTGTTATTTGTACCTTATACCACGTGGTAGGTGTTGGTAAATTGTTTTTACTGACATTTTTTTAATGTTTTTGTAGCTTTGTTTGTTGGTTTCAATCATCATCACCAACTCACTGTCTTTGCGGCTGCTCTTCTATATGATGAAACAACAACAACATTTGAATGGATTTTCTATCAGTTTTTGAAATGCATGGGAGGTGTGAGACCATCATCAATGTTTACTGATCAGGCTGCTACAATTGCTGCTGGTATAAGGTCTGTTTTCCCAGATTGTTTTCATGGGCTGTGTACATGGCATATTGCTCAGAATGCATTTGTTAATCTGGGAAGTTTATGTGACTCTGATTTCCTACGTGAGCTTAGTTATTTGATGTATAATGCTGATGATGAGGATGATTTTGAGTATAATTGGAAGGAGATGATTGAGAAGTGTTTTCCTGGGAAGGGACCTTTGGGACACAGTTGGTTACAGGGCATTTATAAAGTCAGGAAGAAGTGGTCTTCAGCCTGGGTGAATAATTATTTTGGTGCAGGAATGAAGAGTACCCAGCTAAGTAAGTGCTGCAATAGTAATATTCGACATTACCTGCAGTCAGAGTTTAGCGTTAGTAGATTCTTTGTGCACTTTGAGAGGATGCTTGATAATAAGAGGGATGCTGAAGAACAAGAAGAGTACTATGCCTTATCTAGGTTGGCTGATTCTCGGTTTTCTATTATCCTTATTGTGAAGCAAGTTGCTAATGTGTATACGCCGAAGATATTCAAGTTTTCCCTGGATCAGTACAAGGAATCTCTTGCGTATAATATTTTTTCAAATACAGAGATAGAACCAGAAGGACATGTAGGAATGTTTGATGTCTTCATATTGGAGGATGAACTAACAAGGTTAGATAGTAGGGTGTTGAAGGTGGATTTTGATAATGGTGAAATCAAGTGTTCCTGCCGTAAGTGGGAGTCAAGTGGTTTGATCTGTAAGCATCAAATGAAGGGATATGATATGTTGTGGTCTACAACACGCAATCTGAAGTTCCAGCACATTCCTAGTAGTTTGATTTTGAAACGGTGGACAAGAGCAGCAAAAACTGGAGGGAACTTTTGTTTTGACGTTCCGTCTACTGATAGTCCAGCGAAGTACCGGTCTCGTCTGTTCAATCTGTCAGTTGTTTCTGCATCAATGATCAGCAGGGTTTCATTGGATGATGATTTGTATAAACAGCCATGGCCTTCATGACTGATTTGATCAAAAAGTGTGAAGCCCCACCGATTATTGAACCGGCTGGAACAAGCACATCTTCTAACTGTGACAGTAAGTTTATTTTTTGTTTAGAGTTTTGTGTTTTGATATATGCAATGTTTTGATCATAGCTTACCACACCTTACCATATGGTAATAAACTAAAATTTTATGGAATACTCCATTTTATATATCTGTCATTTGATTGAAGTGTGTTTTTGTTATCTTGGAATAGATGATTTTCCGGTCCGAAAAGTGAAGGGGTTTAAACCTAAAAAAGATTCATTCAAGCCTTCAAAACGACCAATTCCAGTTGCGGAGGCTGCAAGGGCTGTAAGTAAGAAGAAGAGAAAAACTAGCA